GCGAATCCACCAGGGAAAGAGACCCCAGGAATGCCTGAAGTGGTGGAAAAGAATGGGCTTTTCTCAGAGGTCAGAGCTGCTTCAACATCAGCAAATCCACACAGGAGAGAAACGTTACAAGTGCGGCCAATGCGAGAAGGCCTTCGCTCAGAAGTCACAACTTTGGCTCCATGAGGAAGTTCACAAAGAAACCAAGTCTTATAATCCGTGCGGGCGGGGAAATGCCGAGCGATCAACTCTTCGGAGTCGCAAGAAAAGAAACCGAAGGGAGAAAAATGAAGAGTGCCCAGAATGTGGGAAATGTTTTTCCACCCAGGCCTTCCTGATACGACATTGGAGAATTCACACTGGCAACAGACCCTACCAATGCTCCGATTGTGAGAAACAATTTATGTATTTTTCATCACTTTGCAGACACCAGAAACGGCACCCAGGAAAGAAACGCCATACCTGTGAGGAGTGTGGGGAAAGCTTTTCCTCCAGCTCCTATCTTCGTGCGCACCAGGATGCCCACACAGGGGTGAAACTGTACAAGTGCGCAGAGTGTGGGAAATCCTTCGTTACAAAGGGAAACCTGTGGCAACACCAGATGATTCACTCACAGGAAAAGTCCTTCCAGTGCATCGAGTGTGGAATGTTCTTTCATACCAAAGGAGGCCTCAAACGTCACGCGAAAATTCACAAAGGAGAAAAAGATTACAAATGTTTAGACTGTGGGGCAGCCTTTGCTTATTCGTCGTCCTTAAGAAACCACTGCAACATCATGCATATCGGAGTCTCCCCTCATAAGTGCCCCGTCTGTGGCAAATGCTTTTGTAGAAAAGCAAATCTTTTGAAGCATCAGCAAATTCATACCGGACAAAAACCTCATCGGTGTCAGGAATGTGGGAAATCTTTTACTCTCAAAGAATATCTCCGGAACCATGAGAAATTTCACACGAATGAGAAACCTCACAGGTGTGGGGAGTGCGGGAAGTGCTTTACGTGCCATTCAGACCTTCAGAAACACTTGCGGGAAAAGTCCTTTCAGTGCATTGAGTGTGGGAGGATTTTTCATACTAGAGGAGGCCTCAAACGTCACGGGCAAGTTCACAAAGGAGGGAAAGATCACAAATGTTTAGAGTGCGGGGCAGCCTTTGCTTATTTGTCAAATCTTAGAAAACACAATCGCAGAAAGCACACAGGAGCGACGTCCCTTAAGAAAGGTATAGAGACGGCAGAAGAGAAGCCCTTTGCATGCTCGGAATGCAGTAAATCTTTTTACGAGAAAGCCCACCTTTTGATCCATCAGGTCACTCACACTGCAGAAAAACCTCACAAATGCCTGGCCTGTGGGAAATATTTCGCTCACAAAGTCTACCTTAAAAAGCACGAGATAGTTCACACAGGAGAGAAACCTCACAAGTGTGGGAAATGTGGCAAGGATTTTTCTCGCAAGTCCGAACTCCGGCTCCACGAGCATATACACACAGGGATAAAGCCTTATCAATGCTCAGAGTGCGGGATGCGTTTCAATCACAATTCATCTCTTTGGAGTCATAAGAAAACACACAATGGTCTGAAAAAGGAAAAGTGCCCAGAATGTGGGAAATGTTTTGCTCGTAAGGGAGCACTCCGTGCCCATCAGAGAATCCACACAGGGGAGAAGCCATATACATGTTGGGAGTGTGGGAAATGTTTTACTCAACAGCAAGGACTTTATGTGCATCGGTTAGTTCACTCGGGGGAAAAGCCTTATAAGTGCATTGAGTGTGGAATCAACTTCCGTCATACATCATCCCTTAGTAGACACCTAAATGTTCACCGACAGAAGTGATGGCTAAACTTTTTCCCATCGCGTGCCAAAAAACGGGGGGAGCACAAGCGGAGGGTGCGCGGGCGCGCCCACCCCCATGATGCTATGCAGATTCCACAGAGAATTCGGGAACAACATAGGCAGTACCAATTTTTAACAAACCAGTTAAATAAAAACAGAATAATGTACAAGATGGTTGGTACCAGAGGGGTTGTGGTATCTTGGCAAGGAAAAAGATATAAGATAGAGAATATAGAAGAAGCACAGAAATTCTATGAAGAATACTGCAAGAGGGAAATAGAACAAGGAAGCAAAGAGGAATTAGAAAGTAGAGGTCAAGAGGAAGAAACATCAGAAGATAACGAAAGAAACAGGAGAGAAGAACAGAGGCAAGAAAGAGAGAGAGCAGAGAAGGAACGCGCGAGAGGGAAAAGTCAGATACAAACTAGAAGTTAAAAAAAAACAACCCCAGTTAAAGATGGATCAGAAACAACAATTACCT